CATGCATTAAATCATAAGTGGCATTGTTTTGTAAATTAATGCAGTAAAGACCATCTGACAAAGTACCATTCCCAACACAATCAGATTTATAAAGTAAGCTGAAAGATGAATCTAAAAAATTAAAGGAATATGCAAAAGGTACAAGCCTTGAAATTGAAATCAAGTTTCTGGAAAAACTTGGAACATAAAAGGTATTTTCTAACTTTAAAACAAAGCCACTACTTAAAATTAAATAGCAAGTTCTTATAGCTTTCACATGCGAGCCCATCTTGTTTCCTGATTAGATGCTTCGCTCACTTTCCACTGGCTTCTTTAGGTTTTGCAAACCCTGCAAGGAATTGAAATGTGGATTGTTGATCCAGAATCAATCCACCATGTGTTAATATTGACATTAACCATATTAGATTCATAACAAACAAATGAGGTTGGATTACCTTAGTCCGCAAGCCATTTCTAAAATTTGATGCATTCCTTCTTCATGTGTCCATTCTTTTTACAGAAGAAACACTTAGAATCTTTCTTGATACCACCTTGGGAAGGCATTTTACCTTTCCCTTTCTGATTGGCTTGATATTTTCCCTTTCCATGCGTTGCCAGCATTGCACTTTCTCCATGTTCCATCACCAGTCTCCCTTCCTCTTGAACACACATGGTCATAAGTTCATTAATTGACCATTTATCCTTATGTGTCTTGTATGAGATTTTGAAGGGTTCATATTGGTGTGGAAGGGTATTCAAGATGTAGTGCACCAGAAAGGAATCCGACAATTCAACCTCAAGATTCTTCAATTGAGCCACAATATCCCTCATTTGCATGATGTGCTCACACACATCTCTCACATCGGTGGGCCTTAGGGATAAGAGCTTCATGATCAGGGTGGTTGCTAGTGCCTTGTCTGAAGTGACAAACTGATCATCAATGGCTTTTAGCAAGTCTTTGACATTTTCATGCTGATTAACATAACCGCAAATACTAGCTGAGATTCTAGTCTTAATGAACATCACGTTGAGACGATTAGATTGCTCCCATTGTTCATAAAGCGTGATGTCCGCTACAGTGCTGGTATCAGTGAGTGCTGGTGGTTAGTCTTTCCTAATAGCATAGTCTTTGTCCATCCACCCCAAATGAAGAAGAACTCTCTCCTTCCAGACCTTATAGTTATCTCCCTTAAGTTCAGGGACATCATAACGAATATCAGAGAAATTTTCAGGTTGTACGATTGCATAAAATTATAGATTACATGCTAATGTTAAAACTGAGGCCTAAATAAACTATCATGCTTTACCAATGTAAATCATGCTTAAAAATTGAATCTAATGACATAAAAATTGCTAGTGGGCTAAATTTCTAATTCAAGCAGATTCATTTATTCTTTATGATTAAACTTCATGATAAAAATATCAAATTATTTACTAAATTCATAATTCCTGTGGATAAATTATGAATAACTTGATATTTTATTCTAATTAATAATATAAATATAACAAAAATTCCTGTGGGAAAAAAATTATCATATTAAGTATAATTAATTACAATTAATGTCTAATATTCTTTATGTGATCCTAATTAATCATAATATATAATTTTATTTAATTAAAGATGTTGTGGCTATTCTCCAATTAATTAAAATTATATGGATCACTAGACATTAAATCCCATAAAGACTAGCTTAATATTACGAATTACATAATTTTAGCAAATAATAACATGTTATTATTATGCATAAAATATTCTCATAATATAAGCATAAATATTGCATAATTAAAACTATAATATTATGCATAACATTTAATATTATGCCTTTGACTAAATATATACTTATCCAAAAATAGCATGTATTAATATAGAGCAGAAATAATCAATTCATGCAAACTAAATATGAGCATATATAATAAATAAATTTGCACAAGAATTATCCAAATTGCATATAATTAAATCAAATAAAAATTATAAGCACAACAAAAATAGCACAACAATTATAAGCACAAAAGGGCAAGGCCCAAAAAACCCACTTCACAAACCAAGTATAAAAGAGGAAAATATAAATGTTGTTGTTTTTCTCTATTTTCAGATTTTTTTTTTTTTTTAAACTGACCCATATAAACAACATGTTGTTTTTCCCAAAATGAAAACAACGTGTCGTTTTTTTTTTTTTTTTTTTTTTTTAAAACTGACCCATATAAACGACATGTTGTTTTTCCCAAAATGAAAACAACGTGTCGTTTTTCTCCTTGTTTAAAAACAGGCTATATAAACGACATATCGTTTTTCCCTATACGAAATGAAGGCTGCCTTAACTAAACTACATGTCGTTTCATCCCAAAACCAAAACTACATGTCGTTTTGGTCATCTTCAACCTCCAGACTGGGTTGCAGGTCACCTTTTTTATTTATTTATTTTTTTTATTTGGACACTTTTGACGTCAAGAAAAAAAAAAAAAACATGTTTTTTAATCATAGAAAGCTTATAAAAACTATTTCCACATGATTTCTAATCTTCTTTTGAATAAAAAGGTCTAGAAATCAAAACTTTAATTTTTTTAAAAACTTTCGGTCAAAAATAGAGTCAAAATAGAACATCATTCCAACGTCAAGGCAGAGATAAAACCTGACTCTGATACCAAATGTAAGCATAAATACGATTCTATAATGCGGAATAAATACTTTAAAACAGAATCTAAAAGCTTAATGTCAAAGAAACAGTACCTCCAGCCATTGATGTTCCTCACGGTTTTGCTACAATCTCTCACTCATGTTTGGTACTTCCAAACTCTACTCACTCTATTTAGATGGTGTAAGACTGAAGGGGATTGAGTGATCAAGTCTAGGGACCAAACTGTTGTATTTATAGTCAAAGCTTCCATCAAGCTTCGGCGGCTACGTGTCCCACTTGTTCAGTTTATCATGGGGCAGTTCCATGTTTTACGAACGTGATGAATACCCGAGTTGACCACTTCAGGTGCTCCTAAAATGAAGGGGAGCTGGAGACTCGTTCTTACGAACGGCCTCCGTGAGAAACGGTCAACATTACAACCAAATAGACTAAAAATATTTCAATAGTGTTTATAGTTTTAAATAAGCTCATTTGGCCACGAGTACCAATTTATTTCAATAGTGTTTATAATCGAGAGAAACAATTTTGAAACCCTATAGGAAATGTGTTTTCAACCTTTATAATAGTTTCTCCATTTTTCATTGATTTTCATTCAAAATTATCATCCATGATTGTTATTTATTATCCATTATAATCAGAATAGATTATGCTTTTGGTTCAATAAAAATAAAGTTAAAAGAGATTTTTGTAATATAATTCTATCAGATTGAAGCAAAAAGTGAAACTTTGACCTTTTAGAACAATGCTCTAGCACTAAAATTCGTCTTTTAGAGTGAGAAATAAAAAAAAAAAAAAAAAAAAAAAAAGGCACTCAAAACTTCGATTTTAGTGCGAAATCAAACTCTCATTGAGTTTCAAGTGAATATCTTCTTAAAGTAAATGGTTTCACATATAAGTTATGGAAATAAAAATTTATGAGATTGTAGTATGGGTTTTGTATTTTAATACGAGTTAATGACATTATCGCTCCAGGTTTTTATTAAATAACAAAAAATTATTATTATAAGGTTGTTAAGTTTTGTGTGTTAAAAACTTAAAATAACAGTAAAAATGTATTTAAGGAATTATGATTCAGATTTAGAACAAAAATCTTCTGAGATTTGATTAATAACAAAAAAAAGGCTTAAATGTCCAACGGCCACTAATGCAGGGTTTATTTGTTATTTTCAAATCTTTAGGGAAACTTTTGTCATTTAATAAGCCTAAGGGTCATTAAAGTCATTTAATATCGTTGGCTATAAGAGATGTTTAGAGGATAAGTAGGGTTTGGGAGGCACGGGTCTAGCAGCCACTCATTCTTGTTTTTGAATCTCTCTTTTCTGTTTTAATTTTCCTGGAAGTTTTGTGGATTTGGAACTTCTCTTCAGAAGCATTCGAGAGGCACGGCACGACTGGCGTAATGTGTGGCGGCTACTCCTTTTGTTTTGAAATTTTCTTTTTCTCTTTTTATGATTTTCCTGAAGTTTAGTGTTTAGAAGTTCTCTTGAGTTGCATTTAATGTTGCAAGTCTCTGGTAGTGTTGTTTGGCTATGGAGGATTTAATGTTTGTTAATTATTTAATTGTTTGCATATTATCTATTAGGTCAAACGAAAATAAAAATTCTAGGGCAATTTTTTTTCCAAGACGGCTAGAAAATTTACAGTCAAGTCAACATTGTTAATTTAAGAGTAAGTCAGTGTATAAACAGAGAAAATAACCAATTTATTTTACTTTAGTTCATTTCTGTATCTGTTTGTGCTAATCTTTAATTTCAAGAGAGAATTTTAAGATTAATTATTATCTATTTAATTTCAGAGGCAATTTTATATCATGTCAATTTTTTTTTTTTTTAATTATATATCGTACGTAACATTGATAAAAGAGATATATTTATATTTTATGTATTGAGGAAAATTTTATGTTTGAGGATGGACGAAAGTGGGCTATTGGAATTGTACTTGTTTTTATTTCTATTTCATTTGATTCTGCTTATTGTTCTTTTTACCTTTTCTTATACTGTAGGCCTGATTCAGAGCTTAGAAAATCATTAAGATATTTTGAAGAGATTGATAATATGTCGTCGAGTGTATAGAACTTGGTTGGAATAGTACTGAAGATCCAAAATTAGATCTTATGTCTAATTGTCGAATGAAGTATGTGTTGTAGGATTTGGGTATGGGTGGTGTAGGGAGACAACTATTTAATGCTATTTTCATGAAATCTCAGTGAGTTTGAAGGTTCTTATTTCATTGAAAATATGGAGAAGAATCGAAGAACGCGGGTTAAGTCACCTGCAAAGGTTTCGATATAAAAACGTTCTTATTGTTTTTGATGATGTGACAATTCAAAACAAATCTAATTACTTGTTTTTGATGATGTGACACATTCAAAACAAATAAAATTACTTGTTTTTGATGATGTGACACATTCAAAACAAATAAAATTAATTGTTTTTGATGATGTGACACATTTAAAACAAATAAAATTAATCGGGGATCTTGAATACTTGGGTTCAGGAAGTCGAATCATTACAAACTTATAACAACAAGGGATAAACAAGTGCTTAAAAATTGTGGTCCGAATGATGCTACCATATATGAAGTCAAAGGATTAAGTAGGAATGAATCTCTTCTACTTTTTCAACAATATGCCTTCAAACAAAGCCATCCCATCTTTGAAGATTACATTGAGCTATCAAATAGAGTAATAAGTTATACCAAAGGTGTGCCATTAGCTCTTATAGTCTTGGGTTCCTTTCTATTTGGTTCCACATAAGGATATCCAAACAATACTGAAGATAAGTCATGATGGACTGGATGATGAAGAGAAATATTTATTTCTAGATATTGCATTCTTCTTTTAAGGATGGGATGAAAGTCTTGTGAGAGAAATTTTAAACTCCATTGCTCTGCACATATTGGAATGAGTGTTCTCATTGCTCTTAACTATTTCATACAACACCATAAGAATGCATGATTTGCTTCAAGAGATGGGAAGATAAATTGTTCGACAAGAATCGATTAATAAACCCGGCAAACATAGTCGATTGTGGCATCATAATGATGTTTATCATGTATTGAGAGAAAATATGGTAAGTACAAAAGACTTTAGCTTTCAATTTCTATTTTATATTAATTGTGAAATCTTGAAAAGTTTTATCCAGGAGATTATCATTTTCATTTTTCCTTACGCATCAGTTCATGTGGTAATGGGCTGGGGTTTGATAGGTATATATATTTGTATAATTGTGCTGTTAACTTATCATTTTGTTTTGTTTGCAGGGAAGTGATACAATACAAGGCATATGCTTTGAAATGTCTGAAATAAGAGAGATATATTTAAATACTTTTGCTTTCTTGGGGATGGATAATCTAAGATTCTTGATAGTGTATAACTCAAAATATAGAGACAATAACACTAAGAAGCATGGTTTTGAAGGCCTTAAATTTGATTTTGCAGAGCTTAGATGCCTTTATTGGAATGATTACCCCTGCACATAGTTGCCTTTGAAATTTTATCATGAGAACCTTGTTGTACTGAAGATGCGCAACGACAATCTTTAGCAACTATGGACTAGTATTAAGGTATATTTGATTCCATATAACAATTTTCTTTTACAAATTTTAAATATTAGATTTTCTAATTCATGTTTGTCATTTCTTCTTCTATTACAGAATCTCGACAATTTAAAATATGTTGACCTAAGTTTCTCAAAACATCTATTTAAAATCCCAAACCTCACACGCGCCAAATATAGAGAGCTCGATTCTATAAGACTGACAAGTTTGGTTGAGATCACTCTTCCAGCTATTCAACATCCCAATAAACTTTTTAATTTGAATCTCAGAAATTGCAAAAGTCTCATCAGTCTTTCAATTGGTATTCAATTAAAATCTAGAGATGTTATTCTCTCTACCTGCTGAAATCTCAAGACAGCTCCAAGTATCTCATATAATATGGAACAACTGTATTTCGATGGAACTGCAATAAAAGGATTATTTTCTTCCATTGAATGTCCTTTCAAACAAGTCGAATGGAATCTTATGGGCTGTTCAAGGCTTGAAAGTCTTCCAAGAAGCATTTATATATTGAAATCTCTTTGATATCTTAATCTATCTGGTTGCTGAAATCTAAAATTGGTTCTGGAGATCTCATGCAATATAGAATGGGGGTGTTAGCTATCACATATGTTTGCAAGTTTGCAGAGTTACCTAATGATCTTGGCCAGTTGTCCTTACTCAGAATTTTAGAATTAGCTTGAAACAATTTTGAGAGCATATCAACAAGCATTGTCAAGCTTTTTAAGTTGTGGTTCCTTGGCATAGGGTTTTGTAATAAGCTTCCATCCTTACGAAAGCTGCCATTTAGTACAGAAAAGCTAAATGCAGAGTGTTGTGAATTGCTGAAAGCATTATCAGGGTTGACAATTAGAAGCCATGGATTTTACGACAGGACATTTAACTTCACCACTTGCTCCAATTCTGACTGGTATGCACTCAGAAAGATATGAAGGTTTATTTCAGTCTCTCTCATTCCCATATGATTTTACTTTCTTTTTCTTTTATAAGTAAAATGCTAGATATTAAATTAACTTTTTTTATGGTGCAGACATCATCTGACTTTATGGACAGTCCTCAAGGTTGTATGTGTTTCTCTGGAAGTGAACTTCCAGAGTGGTTTGACATTCAAAGTATTGGATCTTCTATAGAGCTACCACAAGGTTCGTTCAATCGTAAGTGTGTAGGTTTTGTCTTTGTCAAAGTTCATAATTTGTGCTGTAGTATGGAGGTTGAGTGTGATTTCGTTTGAAATGCAAAGGATCTGGATACAAGACAGCTGCTGAAAAAGGTTTTTCATATATTCAACTTGAGTATATGAAATCAGATCATGTATTCTTGGGGTATAGTTGCAGAACATGTGATTTTCGTGAATTCTCTTCCAGTACAGAGGTCATTATCAATTTCAGCCCAAAAGTGTGGGATTCTTTTGTTGTTCGCTCAAGAGGTTTGAGGTACCTATGAAAAGATCCAGATGTTCCATCTTTGATGAAGAGGGAGAGCAAGGGGATGCACACTCCAAGAGATTGAAATCAGGTGAATGCAGCTCAAGATAATTAAATAATATATATACACCTTCTTTACAGGATATAATTAAGTAATGCTCTTTCCATCTCTATACTATTTTGTTATTTCTTTCATCCTTATGACTAATATCTGAATGATTTTCCTCTGGTTGAGTAAAATTCAAATTTGCAGTTAATTTAAAAAAAAAAAAAAATTATAACTAATTCAAGTGTGTTAAAAATAAAATTAAAGTGCAAATAGCCAAAAAAATACCCTCTAACAATACTGCACAGAACAAATGTTGTACATGTATTATATAATCTCAACCCGATGATATTTTAATTTTTCTTAGAATTTAATGAAGTTCAATTGAAAGGTATCATTATGGTTCCATTAATTCTTTGTTTCTAAATTAATCATCTCAGCTTTTGAGATTTACTATACTTTTTCCAGAAAGATGATCATCAAATGTACTCGTCTAGTGAATAGAGATTGGATTTTGATTTTATTTTTTTATAATTTACAGTTTTGAAATTTTGAGAATAAACTGATCTGTTCAATCATAAATATGTCGATGATTTATCTAATTTTCTTTTCAATGCAAAATATTATTTATATAATGATATAAAAAAATGTTATTGTGTATTTGCTTTTTTCTAAACTGATCTACCTTTTTCCTCTTTCTTATGAGTTTTCCATAGACCAGAATTACAACTTATTTGTGTCTACTAAGAGACATTTCCATTTATGATAACATTTTTGTTGGCTGCCAAAGTTTTCATCCACTAGCAAAAGCTATAGTGTTATACATTTAAAGAATGTCTGAAGTAATCTGCTTTATTCCTTTCCTTAGACAACAGTTTCATGTTGAATTGCCCATCCATTCTTGTACAGTGTTTGGTTTTCACCTTATTTATGGCAATTTAATTTTACATGTGCAGATATGTGGACTGGAGTGGACAAGCATCCCCAAAGAGATTATTCATTGGACATGGCTTGAATAGCAGCAGGAATGAAAATAAGCTATGCTTGTGGAAGTACCCTTCATGACTAGAGTTGGGTAGTTAAAGTGCAAAGCTTTAGAATCCTTGAGCTTTCCCAGGTTTGACTGACAAATTTTAGTTTCAAAACCAGTATTGTATTCTTAAATAAATGTTGCCAGCTGACTTCTTTGAATCAGTTTTTTGCATAGGCCGGATGGCCAGCTGGGGTGGATGAGATCCCTTCACTTCTGGGAGATTTTCAAACCATCTTCCAACGAAGATTCAAATGTTTCATATATTGACAGCCATCTATCTCGAAGGACAACTAAAGATGGTAAACAGTTGTTTTTTTTTATGTCTAGGCTGGTGTATATAATTTTGTTGTCACCATTAGTGTTAATTGAAAATAGCAAAAGCCATTAGACAGAAATATTAATCATACTAAATATTTCAACTTGGATAGTGTCATACTTGCCAAAATTAGGTGATATAGCACTTCATCAGAATACTGGGCTGTGAAAATCCACCATTGGAAAGTATGATATGGCTTGATGTTAAAAAAAAATGTTTTAAATTGGTTTTAGAATATGCTAAAATTTGAAGTTGAAAGTATCCATTGGAAGATTGAAACCAATGGATGACCCTTCATTGTTAGAAATGAAAAAAAGTTTCTTTCATCTTTTGTGGGTACAACTTTGGGATGAGTACTAGCATACGAGCTTGGTTCTTGATATTGTACATGAAACAAAATTTCAACATGTCTTGTCTGATGTTCAGATTATTTGTCGGAATGCAGGTCTTGAGAAAGTGTGGAATGTGAAACCTTTTGGTCAATGGGAAAGAGATTATGAATATTTTGCAGCTTAAATATGGAGGGCCACCTCTTAGGGAGTGGGTAAGGCTACCTATATGCATCTAACTAGGACAAAAAAAAGAAAATTTTTGAGGTTTCAATGCTAATTCACTCTTTACTGTGCAGTAACAAAAACTGCTTGCATGGCAGCTTTCCCATCCCTCTGGGACTGCAGAGGAGGGCCTTGACTGGATGAAGCAGACATACTTCGTGTAAAGCTGCAGTCCGGCAACTCAGTTGATTGATCTAAGCTATAGTTAGCGTTCGTTCTTCGGATTATACATTTTTTTTTCTTTCTTATTTATGAGATACTGAGGCTGGATAAGCACTCTGATGCACGTGAACATCCATCGGTCCTGGATGCCAAAGCTTATTATCTTTGCAGCGAGATGGATTGGGGTCATTCTACAGCAAGGAGATTTTATCTTCCTGACGGCGGTAAGGGAGGGAACGAAAGACAGAGATTCAGGTTAATGTGTGAGTTAACAATTTTGTATAGATCCTCAAATCTGTCTATTAACTTGTATTTAATATCCATAGATTTTGTAGTGTCTAGTTTGAAATGCGCAATTATTATCGTTCTGCATTTCTGATTTGTTATGAAATTCAGTAGGACAGATGGCTTCAACCTCACACGATGATAATATTTATAATCATATTAATGATGCGTAATTCTTTAATAAGGGCATCCTTATTTAAATATTGTGAGGATCATGTTTAAATTTGATTGGATTTATCATCATTGGAGTGAAGCAATATTTTACAAATGAATCTAATGTTATTCAAGCATGATTCTTACAAAATTTACATAATAACGTCATTATTAGAGAATTATTCTATTATGATTCCAGCTTTATTAACACATGTATTTGAAGGGGAGTAATGCTACAGTTACCGATGGATGTGTACCGAATTTGTGTACCGAATGATGTGGTACAATCTTGACCGTTGATTTATTATCAGTTAATATTAATCAACGGTTAAGATTTTGTCACGTGCACAAATTCGGTGTAAACTTTTCGGTAACTCTATCATTTTCCATTTGAAGGGTTGGTCTATAATTTGGTGTAAGAGTGCAAACAATGTCATCACTTTTAAGCACGCCGGGAAGAAATAGGGGAACTAAAATGGCCCCCCTTGTCAATCTAATTTAATTTTTTATTAAATTAATTATATAATTGTTTGGTTCTTTTATAAATTTTTTGAAAAAAAGAATTAATACTAGTTAATGGATAAATGATTTATACAAACACATCGCAATTAAAAAAAGATCAAATTGTGATTTGTTAAAAAAAAAAGGTCATTTAAATGATTTTTCTTATTAAAAATTTATTTATACTAATTTTTCTAATGAAAGGGCAAATAAGTATTAATGAGTATTTTGTTGTGTATTCCGTATTTCGGTTAATCACATTATCTTTTTTAGTCAAACAAGGGTTAATTTTGCAAGCCGTTTCCCGACTGCAAGAATGCTGCGGAAAAACCAAGATATAGAATCTAAATGATTAATAATTAGCTTCAAATTCCCCTCCATGCTTCGAAGTCTGTGAGAAGACAAAGAGTCCGATTGCTTCACGCCACACTGCGATGGCTTTTCTTCTTTTCTTCTTCTCAGGTGAAGTATGATGTTTTCTTGAGTTTCCGAGGTGAGGATACTATTGATAATTTATTAGCCACTCAATGCAGCTTGTGTCGGAGAAAGATTATTACTTTCATCGATATGATGAATTAGAGAAGATGAGATTTCAGCCTCTCTTTGAATGTAATTGAAGGATCAAAGATTTCAGTCATCATTTTCTCTAAGGTTATGCTTCTTCTACATGGTGCCTGAGAACTCGTGGAGTTTCTCAATTGCAAGAGAATGATCGGTCAGATTGTGACCCCGTTTTCTTTCATGTAGATCCTCTGAGTAAGGAAGGAAGCCGGAACTTTTAGAATTTCATTTGCTGTGCATAACATAAAAGCCGATTTAGGGAGAGGAAAGAAAAGTTGCAGAAATAGAGAATGCTTTGACGGAAGCCGCCAATCTACTGGCTTTCATTCAAATTCCATCAGGTGATGCTTTTGCTTTTGATTTATATTCTCATTAACGCCACGTAACCACAAAGTAGTCTGCGGGTATACTGAATCCAAAATAGTTATAGATTATATTTTAACTTCATAATTTTTGTTGACTTTACAAAATAAATTATTAATATTACTTTTTAAACTTTTATTTTTTCTTTATTTTCCTCTATATTACATTTTTCATTCGATTGGTACCTAGAAGGCTAATCCCTTAGATTAAAGTAAGATGATAATAATTTTATTTTTATTTTTTTACTTAAAATTAATTCTTTTCTTTTAGCTTTCTTAATTTATGAAAGATCATGATTATGAGTTTTTATTGAGTTTAATGAATGAGTTTTAAATAATTCTTAAATTTGGTGTGGATTTGATTTAATCTTGTTGATGTTGAGATGTGAGTTAATTAATTGCTATTTTAAGTTGGGGTTGATAAATTGTGATTAGTTATTAAGTTAATTTTAATATGGTTTAAGAATTGACGAACCCCTAAGTTTTAGGGATTTAGAGATTTGGTTTAATTTCGTATATTTGGTTAGTTACTTGATATTTAGAGTTAGATTTGATGAGTTTTCATAGGTTTTGAGTTAAATTTTATTGGTTAGTAGAAATTGTTTTGAAAAACCTAAGTTATGAGTTGAATTTTAATAATTTGTGTTGTTTTTTAATTGTAATTACAAATAAATTATATTTCTGAAATAAAAATTCTTTATTTTTTTTAGCTATGGACATGTTTTTTATCAAAGAAAGTTTTCTAGTGAGGAACTATCAATTAAACAAAACATAAGGTGTCATGATGTTTTCAATGAGCCTATGAAATCTAGTTCAAGACAAACTATATTAAGCTTAACTTAATAGTCTTCATGCAGATGCGGGATTGAAATTAAAATTTTAAAATATCATCCTAATGATAGAGACCAAGTGAGAAAGAATACTTGAAAAAAGGACATTGCCAATCACACAACATCATAATTTTAAAAGCGAGCAATTGAGAATTTAATGTGCGTTTTAATCCCATTTGGTTTAGAGAATATGCAAATTGGTTGATATAGTGTAAAAGGAGGTGTTTTTGTTTCTGTTGTTATTTTTTTTAGAATGAAATTAGCATAATATTACATGTTGCACTGCAAATGTTGAAAGAGCATTTTATGTGATAAATGGTGAAAATCGATTACGGAATCGAATGAGAGATCATTGTAAATGATTGTCTTATACATATATGAGAGAGAGAGATTTGATGAAATTGTCAATGAAGAAATTATGCAACGTTTTCAAAATATTAAAATCGTTAAGGACATTTGAATTGATATATTTGATATACATAATTCTAAAGTATATTTTTTATGCTTATTACTTTAGTATATATTTTATTATAATTTATCAACTTGATGTTTTGAACTCACTATCTCAAATCCTGGCTACATCCCTGCTCATTAAAGTTCTTATCAATACCACCCTTCAACCCCATGGGGTTGGGTTTGCTTTCTTATTTGAGTTTTCGAACTACAATATATTGTGGCTTATTTGGTTCATTGAGCTATAAAATGTTCAGTTAACCCTAAAATGAACTAAAAAATTAGTTGAAGTACGTGTAAACTAGCCTAGGATCCGATTACAAAAAATTAAAATAACCACCATCCAATAATAATAATTACACAAAAACTCGTTAATCTCCTCTAATATTGAAATTTAATAAATTAAAGTAAAATCTTAATTATTATTTTAATATTTCAAATAATGTCTTTGTGTTGTTATTTTATAGAAAAACATTTTATGTTATGATGGTTTGGGGGTCAAAGTAAACTCATCTAAGTGATAGGGGCTCCTTTACGTCTTTTAAATAGGCACCAGCGTGGGCTCTGCAGCCCCATTGGGCCCAACGTGGTCTATCCTTGTGTATAAAAATGAAAAATCACATTCAATTATGAAAGATAAAATTCAAATAGAACTTTTATAGTCCAACTATACAATTGCACTCGGGGCGGATCCAAAGTGTATTAAGGGTGGGCCATGGCCCCCCTCTTTTTTAAAAATAAAAATTAAATACATTTTTTCATTTAGTTTGACTTTGGCCCACCCTTAATTTTTATTGTCAAATATTAAAAATGTGGCCCACTCTCAATTTTAGAACTAAAAATTTTTGTTGGCCCACCCTAATAAAGATTTCTGGATCCGCCCCTGATTGCACTTGATCTGGTTCTTCTTACAAAATTCCATTTAGTTGTTTAAAATAGGATTAGGATTTATGTTTATAGGGACATAGGATTTTAAAATAATAACACGAGGATTTTTTTTTTAAAATTTTATTTTGATGATCACGAATGTCTGAGCTGTACGTGCACCTCAACTAATCTTTCGGGGTCCTATAACTATTAGTTTGGGTAAACTTCAGTGGCACCTCTACTAACCGAGAGGGACTCAAACTTAGGACCTCTTAATATATATCCCAAGAATCCATATCAAATCACTAGGTTACCTAGAGATAGTTAACATGAGTTTATTTGGTTGGGTGTGTTATAATTCTTTTTTGTCTTATTAAATTTTTGTAAAGAATAAAACTGTAATTAAGAAAAAAAAGGATTTATGGATTATAATAGATAATAGGTGAAGACCAGCATACTCATATTTAAATTCAATTTAAATTAATAGTATTATTTATTTAGTGGATTTTTATTTATAAGCTTTATACTCACATAGAAGTCATATAATCAATGTTTTTCTCTACTAAACTGTAATCAATTAATATTTTGTTATTATTTCCACATTGAATTTCATTATTAACTTCCCAACATCATTTATCTTGATATATTATTAGTCAAATTTTTTAAATTATTCTTATTTTTTCACGTTATATGTTTTATTAAAATGAAATAGCATTTTGTTACTTTATGTTATAATTAAGTAAAATCAATTATATTTTCATTTGCCAATTGTAATTTATTACAGAACAACTACTTTTATAAGGGAGAGCTACGTTTTCCCCCCCAGGGTTTGGTGAAACGACGCTTTTCCCCTTCAGTTTCAAAATAACATTTTTTCACCATTCGTCAGGTTCGGTTAGTGTTTCTGTTAACATTTGATTGAAAAGACAAAATACCCTTAAATAGTTTATTTCTTAATTAGTTTATTATAAATTAAAATTTTATTAAGTCAAAGTCTTTACTCAATTATTTATAGTTCAAGTGTAAGATACAATTTTTTCCTTTGTTTATTTAATAATTAGAAATATTGATTTTTATATTAATTGTAAAATGAAAACATTAAAATTAATAGATTATTGAATAATAGTGATGAATATTATGACATTATAAATAAATAAATAAATAAATATTAAAGTCATTTAACTTTAAAACATTCCTACCTTACTCTAACTTTTAGGTGAGGTTAACAATTTTTTTTTTTTGACATTTTGGCTAGTTAAAAATAATAAAATTTATAAGTCAAATATTTAAGGGTATTTTTATATTTTAGTAAATAACAATGAAAAATATAATAGAACCTAACAAGGGTAAGAAAGTGTCATTTTGAATCTAAGGATGGAAAATACCGTTTCGCCAAACCTTGGGTGGGAACATGTTGTTCTCCCCTTTTATATAACAAAACTACACGATCTGAGTTGGAAAACTTTTTAATTTATAGTTTCTTATCTCTATAAGTGCATATGTGCCATAAAGCTTTCTTGGAAAGTCCCAACCAAAATTGTCTTTATTTCTTTTTCATATTTTATGTTGTTTTTTACGTTTTGTTTCATTGTAGGCATGAATCGAAACTTATTGAGACAATTATGGAACATATTTTAGAGAGATTGAATGATATGTCTTATAGTGATAATAATAACTCACAAGTAAATCTTTATTGTTTATGGGTGAGGGAAGTACCAGGTAGGAATTTGGGATATGACTGGTATGTAAGACAAGTCTTGTCGTGTGTCACGTCTGGCTCAATCCTAAATCCGTACGAGGTCCAATATAAAGGCCGACTTAGACTTGACCCAAAAGTATAAAGAATATTCCTTCATAAAAAAACACACAACAAAATAAGACTAGGGTTCTATTTTGTTTGTATAATTAATCTTAGCCATCCATTTTAATAGATATATACGAATTTGGATCGTCAGATCTACTTGTAAACTCCTATATAAAATCATATAATTATTTCAATTTATTCCATTCATTGTATTCAATTGAGAGCAATACAATAGAATTTTTCTTTCTACTTTGTTCTTCATGTTCTTATTTCTTTTCGTGAGTTTATTTAGGCTTATTAATAATCCTTTGTGTCCAAATAATAGGATTGTGACACAAGGCTTGGACACAAATAGTCATGACCCTAGGCACTTGCGAGTGGAAATTAAAACTGCCACTATGCCATGTCGACATTGATTCATGCCAAGGTTCTAATCTTGAGTCATTTTGCTCTTGTACTCCAAACATCTACTCTGGGATGCTTAGGCTTGGAAATTGGTAAGCGCCTTTCATGATGATGATCAATTACTCTTTCTAGACCCTTAATGTGTTAATTTTAAAGTAAATTCACAAATTACATTACTAACGGATGAATGAATGAACAAATCTACAAATCAATAACAGAAGAAAAAAAAAAAAAATTGTCGGGTTGAGAAGAAGGAGCCCAGGGTAGAGGAGATGTGCGAGTGGGTGGAGAAGAATGGTTACGCGGCTGCAAAATATATTTGAAGTAAATTGATGAGAATACCCTTATTCCGTTAAAGTTAACAGCTGAAATTGAAAATCGAGAGTAATGTTATGTGTTTCCTCAATTTAGAAGAGAAATTGTTCTTCTTTGATACATGGGGGATCAAAATGTTATTAGGCCTAAATTTTAATTAGCTCCTCATGGTCATGGACCTTTCCATGTTGGTGCCCATTATCTTTCTCCAACACGCCTAGAAGAATTCCGGTCAGAATTGACTACTTGAAAATAAGTATAATGACAAAAATAGAGAAGTAAATCATAATTATACCCAAAACTTTATAATTTTTTCGTTTAATATTTAAAATAAAGATCATCATTCTCCAAAGCGGTAGGAATAATTTAATTTGTGTTCATTAAAAGAAAAGACGTGTTTGATGTTAACGGGTTCACATTATGTGAATTATGGATAGTTAAAAGATAAACTGCTCTCTTTCGTGGAAGATGAAGCAAACAGAAAAACACTAGAATATTGGTGTAGCTATCCATCAGCATAATGTATGAAAAAACTTTGGAAATTTAATGCAAATCACATCCCTTTACTCCTTTGGATCCGGATGAATTCCCTCGAGATTCTGTCGCATAATGGTTTGTTAATTACTTAACTGTGTGCAGATTATCTACTATCTAGTTAAATAAAAATAGAATAAGTGCAAAGACATTTCCAGGAAATGTCAGAGAAAGAATGGACATATAAATAGAATTCAAACTCCAATTTACAAAAAAATTATAAATTAGCTTCAAGTTGCTCTCTATGTGATGATGCTTATTATCTTTCTCCAATACGCATACAAAACTCCAGTCAACATTGATAACTTCAAAGTATGTATAAAGACAAAACATATAAATTAATTTATAATTACCACAAAGCTTTATGATAATTGTCCTTCGATGTTTACTTAATAAAAGATTCTCATTTTCCAACGCGGTATGGAATAATATATATTGATGAATTAATTTATATGTCCTTTTGCTAATTTCCAATTTCAAGAAACTTTGATCAATTTGATTAATTCCTGGTTTCCTTATTCAAATTCTGTGAGAAGAGCAAACGTTGGAGACTTTGATTCCTTCAAGCCAAGTACGTACCATGGCTTTTGCTTCGTCTTCTCCTTCTCATGTGAAATATGATGTTTTCCTTAGTTTCAGAGGTGAGGACACTCGTGATGGTTTTACCAGCCACCTCAATGCCGCTTTGTGTCGGAGAAACATTTTAACTTTCATTGATGATAAACTTGAAAGAGGAGATGAGATCTCACAATCTCTTTTGAATACAATTGAATCATCTAAGATTTCAATTATCATCTTCTCTAAAGACTATGCTTCTTCTAGATGGTGTCTCGAAGAACTCGTAAAGATCGTCGATTGCAAGGAAAAGTACGGTCAGATTGTGATACCGGTTTTCTATCATGTAGATCCATCAGATGTAAGGAAGCAAATGGGGACATTTGGAGATGCATTTGTTAAGCATGAAGTGCGATTTAGGAAGGGGCAAAAGATGTTGAAGAGATGGAGGAATGGTTTGACAGAAGCAAGCAATATATCTGGCTTTGATTCAAAAGTCATTAGGTAAATACTTTTGCTTTGATAATATTTTGAATATAGATAAGCAGATAAACATTTCTCACAAACTTTTTTCATTAACATTAACGTGACAGCTCGCAATTGGTTAAACGAGACTTATTGCGAGTTGACCAATTACGTGCTAACACGTCGTGTTTGTGAGAGAAAGTTAGATAAAAGAGTTTGTGAGGGTAATATTATGTTCAGTTAACCCTAAAATGAACTAAAAAATAGTTGAAGTACGTGTAAACTAGCCTGAGATCCGATTACAAAAATTAAAATAACCACCATCAATAATAATAATTACACAAATAAACTCGTTAATCTCCTTAATATTGAATTTAATAAATTAAAGTAAAATCTATATATATTTTAATATTTCAAATAATGTCTTTTGTGTTGTTATTTTATAGAAAAAACACTTTATGTTATGATGGTGTTGGGGGTCAAAGTAAACTCATCTAAGTGATAGGGGCTCCTTTATCTTTAAATAGCACACAGCGTTGGGCTCTGCAGCCCCATGGCCAGCCATACGTGGTCTACCTTGTGTATAAAAATGAAAAATCACATTCAATTATGAAAGATAAATTCAAATAGAACTTTTTAAGTCCAACATACAATTGACTCAGGGCGGATCCAAAGTGTTTAGGGTGGGCCATGGCCACCCTCAATTTTTAAAAAATAAAAATTAAATACATTTTTTCATTTAGTTTGACTTTGGCCCACCTTAATTTTTATTGTCATATTAAAAAATTGTGGCCCACTCTCAATTTTAGAACTAAAAATTTTTGTTTGGCCCACCCTAATAAAGATTTCTGGATCCGCCCCTGATTGCACTTGATTGGTTCTTCTTACAAAATTCCATTTAGTTGTTGAAAATAGGATTAGGATTTATGTTTATAAGGACATAGGATTTTTAAAATAATAACACGAGGATTTTTTTTTTAAAATTTTATTTTGATGATCACGAATGTTGCTGCAGTGTACGTGCACTCAACTAATCTTTCGGGGTCCTATAACTATTAGTTGGGTAAAACTTCAGTGGCTACCTCTACTAGTAACCGAGGAGGGACTCAAACTTAGGACCTCTTGAATAATATACCAAGAATCCATATCAATCACTAGGTTACCTAGAGATAGTTAACATGAGTTTATTTTGGTGGGTGTGTATATAATTCTTTTTGTCTTATTAATAATTTTGTAAAGAATAAACTGTAATTAGAAAAAAAAAAAGGATTTATGGATTATATAAGATAATAGGTGAAGACCAGCATACTCATATTTAAATTCAATTTAAATTAATATGTATTATTTATTAGTGGATTTTTATTTATAAGCTTTATTATCAATAGAAGGTATATAATCAATGTTTTTCTCTACTAAAACTGTTAATCAATTAATATTTTGTTATTATTTCACATTGAATTCATATTATAACTTCCCAACATCATTTATCTTGATATATTATTAGTCAAATATTTTTAAATTATTCTTATTTTTCACGTTATATGTTTTATTAAAATGAAATGCATTTTGTTACTTATGTTATAATTAAGTAAAATCAATTATATATTTCATTGCCATATTGGTAATTATTACAGAACAACTACTTTTATAAGGAGAGCTACGTTTTCCCACCCAGGGTTGGTGAAACGACGCTTTTCCCCTTGTCAGTTTCAAAATAACATTTTTTCACCATTCGTCAGGTTCGGTTAGTGTTTTCTGTTAACATTTGATTGAAAAGACAAAATACCCTTAAATAGTTATTTTTAATTAGTTTATTATAAATTAAAATTATTAAGTCAAAGTCTTTACTAATTATTTATTAGTTCAAGTGTAAGATACAATTTTTTCCTTTGTTTATTTAATTAATTAGAAATATTGATTTTTATATTATATTAGTAAAAATGAAAACATTATAAATTTAATAGATTATTGAATAATAGTGATGAGAATTGAGACATTATAAATAATAATAAATAAATATTAAAGTCATTTAACTTAAACAATTCATAACATTACTCTTAACTTTTTAGGTGAGGTTAACAATTTTTTTTTTTTGACATTTTGGCTAGTTAAAAAATATAAAATTTATAAAGTCAATATTTAAGGGTATTTTTTATTTTCAGTAAAAACAATGAAAAATATATAGAACCTAACGAAGGGTAAGAAAGTGTCATTTTGAAACTTAAAGGATGGAAAAGTACCGTTTCGCCAAACCTTGGGTGGGAACATGTTGTTCTCCCTTTTATAATAACAAAACTACACGATCGAGGTTGGAAAAAACATTAATTTAATGTTTTATCTCTATAAGTGCATATATGCCATAAGCTTTTCTTGGAAAGTCCCAACCAAAATTGTCTTTATTTCTTTTTCATTAATTTATTGTGTTTTTTACGTTTTGTTTCAATTGTAGGATGAATCGAAACTTATTGAGACATATTGAACATATTTTGAAGAGATTGAATGATATGTCTTATAGTGATAATAATAACTCACAAAGTAAATCTTTATTGTTGATGGGGTGAGGGAAGTACCAAGGTAGGAATTTGGGATATGACTGGTAGGTAAGACAGTCTTGTCGATGTGTCACGTCTGGCTCAATCCTAAATCCGTACGAGGTCCAATATTAAAAGGCTCGACTTAGACTTGACCCAAAGTATAAATTAGAATATTCCTTCATAAAAAAAAGCAACACCAACTGCGATGGCTTTTCTTCTTTTTCTTCTTCTCAGGTGAAGTATGATGTTTTCTTGAGTTTCCGAGGTGAGGATACTAGTGATAATTTTATTAGCCACCTCAATGCAGCTTTGTGTCGGAGAAAGATTATTACTTTCATCGATGATGAAATTAGAAGAGATGAGATTTCAGCCTCTCTTTTGAATGTAATTGAAGGATCAAAGATTTCAGTCATCATTTTCTCTAAGGTTATGCTTCTTCTACATGGTGCCTGGAAGAACTCGTGGAGTTTCTCAATTGCAAGAGAATGTACGGTCAGATTGTGATCCCCGTTTTCTTTCATGTAGATCCATCTGATGTAAGGAAGGAAGCCGGAACTTTTAGAAATTCATTTGCTGTGCATAACATAAAGTACGATTTAGGGAGAGGAAAGAAAAGTTGCAGAAATAAAGGAATGCTTTGACGGAAGCCGCCAATCTATCTGGCTTTCATTCAAATTCCATCAGGTGAATGCTTTTGCTTTTGATTTTATATTCTCATTAACAGCCACGTAACCACAAAGTAGTCTGCGGGTATAACTGAATCCAAAATAGTTATAGATTTTATAATTTTAACTTCATTTAATTTTATGTTGACTTTACAAAATAAATTATTAATTAATACTTTTTAAACTTTTATTTTTTCTTTATTTTCCTCTTATATTACATTTTTCATTCGATTGGATACTCTAGAAAGGCTAATCCCTTAGATTATAAGGTAAGATGATAATAATTTTATTTTTATTTTTTTTACTTAAAATTAATTCTTTTCTTTTAGCTTTCTTAATTTATGAAAGATCATGAGTTATGAGTTTTTATTGAGTTTAATGAATGAGTTTGAAATAATTCTTAAATTTTGGTGTGGATTTTGATTTAATCTTGTTGATGTTGAGATGTGAGTTAATTAATTGCTATTTTAAGTTGGGGTTGATAAATTGTGATTAGTTATTAAGTTAATTTTAAATATGCTTTAAAGAATTGATGAAACCCTAAGTTGTAGGGATTTAGAGATTTGGTTTAATTTCGATATATTGGTTAGTTGCTTGATATTTAGAGTTAGATTTGATGAGTTTTCATAGGTTTATGAGTTAAATTTTATTGGGTTAGTAGAAATTGTTTGAAAAACCTAAGTTATGAGTTGAATTTTAATAAATTTGTGTTGTTTTTTAATTGTAATTACAAATAAATTATATTTCTGATAATAAAAATTCTTTTATTTTTTTTAGCTATGGACATGTTTTTTATCAAAAGAAAGTTTTCTAGTGAGGAACTATCAATTAAACAAAACATAAGGTGTCATGATAGTTTTCATAATGAGCCTATGAAATCTAGTTCAAGACAAACATATATTAAGCTTAACTTAAATAGTCTTCATGCAGATCCTGGATTGAAAATTAAAATTTTAAAATATTATCCTAATGATAGAGACGAAGTGAGAAAGATATACTTGAAAAAATGACATTGCCAATCACACAATCATAATTTTAAAAAGCGAGCAATTGAGAATTTAATGTGCGTTTTAATCCCATTTGGTTTAGAGAATATGCAAATTGGTTGAGTATAGTGTAAAAAATGAGGGTGTTTTTGTTTCTGTTGTTATTTTTTTTAGATATGAAATTAGCATAAATATTACATGTTGCAACTGCAAATGTTGAAAGAGCATTTTATGTGATAAAGATTGTGAAAAATCGATTACGGAATCGAATGAGAGATCAATTGTTAAATGATTGTCTTATTACATATATTGAGAGAGAGATATTTGATGAAATTGTCAATGAAGAAATTATGCAACGTTTTCAAAATATTAAAATCGTTAAGGACAATTATAGAATTGATAATTTGATATACATAACTTCTAAAAGTATATTTTTTATGCTTATTACTTTAGTATATATTTTATTATAAATTTATCAACTTTGATGTTTTGAACTCACTATCTCAGAATCCTGGCTACATCCCTGCTCATTAAAGTTCTTATCAATAACCACCCTTCAACCCCATGGGGTTGGGTTTGCTTTCTTATTTGAGTTTCTGAACTACAATAATATTGTGGCTTATTTGGTTCATTGAGCTTATAAAAAACTCTTGCTAATGCTTTTTCAAGAATCTCAATGAGTTTGAAGTTCTTATTTCATTGAAAAATTAGAGAAGAATAGAAGAACGGCGGGTTAAGTCACCTGCGAAAGGTTTCGATATAAAAACGTTCTTATTGTTTTTGATGATGTGACAGATTCAAAACAAATCAAATTAAGTTTTTGATGATGTGACACATTCAAAACAAATAAAATTACTT